TAAGACAGAGTGCTGATTTAACAATCTAGATAAAGCTCGTCACTCGTTACTTATAGGAAAAGAATGGAGAACATAGATGTATTTATCATGGATCCAACTTTTATTGACCTCCTAGTGTATGACCTTTGGTTGCAAGGATTCTCTGGTTAGTAGCTGTCAATAAATCCAAAAGCAATCTATTTGTTATTTGAAAATAAATGAAATCTAATGTTACTCACTTTATTCTTCTATTATTCCACATTATAAGAAAAATAGTTTTCGCTATATCTGGCGGCTTGTATATGTTACCCAAGGGCCACAAGTTTAAATCGTTGTCACTAATTCTAATTACTGTTGTCTGTTACCATCATAAAATAAAGTCTTTTACTTGCGTACGTATTAAGGGTTCTTTAATTTCGTCTTCAGTGTAACGTTTTTCAATATTTATAATTTTTTTGTGCAAAAAAAGTCCCTGTTCCATTTGCATTGTGACTGATCACCAAATTTTGACCGAAAGTACATTCAAGGCCTTTATCCGATCTTGTTGATGCATTTAACACGATGTATTTGACCCATCTTCGAACAGTACATTGGGTCTACAAACAAATGGGTATTGTTTGGTTTTTAACATAATAGAGAACTGCTTTAAAGTCTTTGGTAAGATTTCTGCACAGCCCCTTGCTAATTGTTTAACAAAGCTAAGGTCGCAAAGTTATTCTGTTGTTTTTGCCATTGGTTTCTCTATCCAAGAACTGTATGGATAATGAAGTATGGGGTTGTATGGTATTCTTTCTGCAGAGTCCTCTTCATGACAACCAAATAAATACATATTTTTATCTCCCATTAGAAAATGAAGCAGCTCAGAGGAGAAAATGTGATGAGAAATTCAAGAATTTTGGGGCATCTCATGCCATCATCACAAGTGACACTCAGGATCAGTTTCGACTGTTCTACATGCTGGAACGTTTTCTTCAATCTCCTCCAATGCTTGCCAAGCAAATGTTATTGCAAATATCTCCAGATGTTCAAGATATATTAATTGAAAGGCATGTAACACCCGTTTTTTGTTGATAGATATTCAACTTTCTTGATCTAAATGATCAAATATTATATTCATCTTTTCAGGGGGTATACATTTCTCTTGTTAACTAGCACAGAGAATTGAGGTTTTTATCAGGTATTTATTTTTATAGGGGTTTCAATAGCAACAGCTTTTGATGCACTGGATACTCCTTTGTAGTCTGACATGAGATATCATTATACATGTTTATTGTTAACAGGTATTATCAGTTTGACAAGGAGGTAGTAAGGGAACTCTTAGGAAAAAAACTCACTGGACGTGTGCGCAAAGACTTGGACGATGTCAGTGAGAAGACAAATATCCCCTTGAAGAGTTGTCGCCGACAGGTGAGTTGTTGACACAACTTTTTTGTGTAAACTTAATGTGAAATAATTAAATTACATTCACCTTGGATCTTAACTTTGATATGTACTGATGATGATGAGGGAAAAGTATGCAATGTTGGCTGCATTGTAAAGTGGTCTAAGGCACTGATTTTATTTTTAATCTGCAAGAGCCAAGGACTTAAGTCTTATATAGCCAGACCTTATCATGGTTTCTGTACCATAAATCAACTAGAAGCATTGGTACCCCCTCCCTCTCTCCCACCCTTGATGAGAAGCTGGCCCAATCACATGTTGCCCCCAGTAATTTCATTAGCTTTCCCACACAGTTCAATGGTACCCATTAACACTCCTGGGTTGTCAGAGGCATTGGGATAATAAATTGTCATGTCCAGGAGCATAGCACAATGACCCTGCTATGTCTTGAATATAGACCTGTTAACCAGCAGTCCAGCATGTTAACTGTCAAGCCTCTGTTTCTCCACTGGTGCATATGTGAATGCCTTGTTCTTCACATTTGGAACTTCAACCCATTTGCTAAACTATATTAAAAAGCCAAATATCTTACAGTTACTAGCTGGTATTGTTTAAAATTTACATCAACTACTCACTCTAATTGTTTATTTGATGTCATCAAATGGGAAGATAAGCCAATGCATGTGAATCTGTATGGAATTATTTGATTATTTTTCTAACTTATCTTTTTAAAT